ACCACGTATGACGTCCGACGTAGTTAGCTACGTCCTCGGTAGATGCACTCACTTCCCAGTTTTGTTCACTAGATCTAGTTATTAACTAAATCTAGTTACTAAAGTAACATTCAAAGACTCGTTTGACTCGGGCGTTGCGTAGACTGCTGAGATTTCACGATTAATCAAAGCCTATACACTCATTTTTTACTCGAGTTATCCCATTTTTTCAATCCCTATAAAATGTGCAGTCCTCGGTACCGTCAATCTTAAAAAACGGTAAAATAACGGTAAGAATGGTAAAATACTATTAATACATTTTAAATGGCTTTAAAATTATTTAGAAAATATTTTTTTAGATCCACTTGAAATGATTATTAAATCTATATCGTTAATGTTTATAAATGTTTTATAAAAATGTTTTTACCCTGGGAAATTTTTAATTTATGAATGAATGTTTCAGAAAAGCATTTTTTAAACATTTTATCAATATTTGTAAAACTTAATTTTGCTGTTATAGATCTGATAGCGATAAATTAATTTCCAATCCTTTTGTGCCTCGTGTCACTAAATGTCACACAGAAACGACGGAGAATTATTTTTTAAAAAACATTATTGTAATACTATTTGCCTTAAGATTTAGCTAAAATAAGGACGATACGTGATATGAGATTTTACGTCAGTTAAAGCTTACAAAAATTTAAAAGGTGAAGAAGTTATGAACGTCTCAAAATAGAATGGTCAATTTAATTTTTGTATAAATTTTAATAAATAAAATTCCTTTATTCCAATTACATCTTCTATTTATTTTATTATTCAGCTGGTCTGCCAAATTTCATATGGCAAGCAAATAAATAAAATTAAAAAAAAAAAGTTATATTTAATTTCAATGATACTTCAAAAAACGCATCACTGCAAATTATGTAAAAAAAGCATGGCAAAATTATCGATTTAGCTCGTGGCAATAGGTGACTGTGAGTGTAGTTTTTATTTAGAAAAAAAACTTGTTTGAAAAGTCGATGGTACTCCCTAAATAAACAATTTTACATTCCACTCGAAAAGAGTATACTTGTATTATACGTGTCGCGCGAGTAATACGCGCTCATGCCGCAGGGTCATTGTAATTTACGTACCCACACAGAGCAGATCAGCTCTCGGAATTGCGGACGTTTATGCTTTTCCGATAATATCGAGATCAGTTCGGAAAGTTGGGGATATTTTCCCTTTTTTTATTCTTTTTTCTCTCTTTCTTTAACTCTCTCCTTCTCTTTCTCTGTCTCTGCTGACTCGTTTTCGCGGGCCGCGAGGTAGACAATATAGACACGCTCGCTCCGTACGTGTTCGGAAAGAAAATCGTCTCATTTTCGCTTCTTCTTCTCCTTTTTTTCTTACGCGATATAACGAACGCAGTTTTGCGCGCATGATATTTAGAATTTACAGCGCAGTGCCATGAAAGGTCGTCCATTCGTCAAAAATAACCATGCGAATGTGATAGGTTTTTCCACAAAAAAATCTTCGTACGAGGCTTCCTCTGAATTTTGTATGCTTTTTTTTTTGATTTTTCTTTGCCGATGCAATCGCAGCCGCAATGCATCAATCGCGACCCGCGCATGCACGCGAAAACGAGGCGCAAAAAAGAAATACGTCGTCGTCATTTTCGTCGGCAGTAGCGAGAAAATCGGATTTCCTTTTCTCGCACTCAATCTGCGGTATATGCGATGTAGGTTGAAGGTAAAAGGGTGCCTATAGGCGTCATGTTAAATCCTCTGTAAGATTCGTTCTGGCACGGCCGAGAAGACAGAGAGAGAGAGCCTCAGCAAGAGCAAAAGAGGAGAAGGAAGAAGACGAAGAGGAAGTCCAAGGATTTTCCATCCGGCAGAGAAAATCCCACCGCGTGGGCGTCTGCAGATATACACCCCCACATATACACATATACGCACACGTATCCGTGGTATTATATATATTTTCATTCTTCGCTGACACATAAGTACGTGTAATTATGTGCTATTTCCTCGATTATTGATTTTTTTTTTATAATTTTATTTTCTTTTTATATCCTAACTTTTATCGAAAAAAAACATTCGAAACGAAATTAGTCCCAGCGAGATGGACATCGACTGCAAAAAGGGTTGGCAGTGGCGGCAAAAGTAACTGGCATCTTAGGTAAATGTACATGCAGGATAACAGAGATAAGATATATATACACACATAGATGCCGCAGTTGAGGTTTGGGCAAAAGCAGCGCACATATATAGACAGACGCAACGCGCGCGAGAGAGAGAGACAGAGAGAAAGAGAGCAAAGGCGAGTGTATATAACGATGGTAAAGTCGGGAGGGTTAAAATTTATAGCGTCGTTCGAGAATGTATATATACGGGGTCGAAGGAAGTAGAAGTAGAAGTAGAAGAAGAAGAAGAAGAAGAAGCTGCTGTTGGTTGGGCATGGCCGAGGAGGAGGAGGAGGAGTAGGAGGATGAGAGACTGGGCGAGTAGCTAGACTCAATGTTTTCCGACGGCCTAAAGTCGGAAGTCGAGACAGCCCAAAACCGGCCAGAGCTAAAACTCTCCCCATTTATATATAGCCACTGCTATACTGCTGCTATCTCTTTTCTCTCTCTCTCTCTCTCTTTAGATATATATACGTTTACCAATTCGCCCAGGAGTTTCTTTCTGTCCCTCTCTCTTTCTCTCTGACCCTCTCTCTCTCTCTCTATCGCCTGCTCCGTATATTAAAGCGGCGAATTTCTTCGTGCCCGAGCGGGGGGTCGAAATCGCGCGAGACAGAAAATTTCGCGTTATCGCCGAAAAACGCATAGAAAGTTTTTCCATACTTGTACGCGCCGCATCGATGATATTCAATGGGGGCTACTCGGACAATATATTGAATAGATCGCGATAAATTATCCGGGGGACAAAAAGCTTGTGCGCGGGTGATCGATATGGAAAAGCTGCTAATTAATTGTTCAAAAGAAGTAAGAATTATGACTTGCACTATGTATACTTTCTTCGGTTCGACTGCAGATTGTACCCGCGTTTTGAATATTATGTGCATATTTTCATTACTCTATAGCTGATTTTAATATGAAGTGGGATTATCAATATAAATAAATTACTAGGGTACTTGAAGTAGTTGAAGTTTTATAAAATCTAAGAAAGTCTTAAAAAGTCTTACAAATGTTCGGATTTCGTACATCTGATTAATGATTTCAAAGAGTTGATAAAAGTTTTTAAAAATTCATAATACCTTGTGGAGACTCAATTTTTTAGCAAAAGTGTTAAGTTTTTTTTTTAAATTTTTTTATTTTTTCCATATTGTTCGTATGGTTGCTCGTACAGTTTTTTCACCATGACTTTTGGCGAGCGTGGATACTGATCAAAAAAGTTTTTAAAATTATTGAAAACTTTTATCAACATTTAATAACTCTTTATGATGATTATTGCCACTTGCAAACATTTTTCTGAATTAAATAAGTGATTGCCCCACCCGTCTGAATATTTCAGAAACCAAATATCAGGTTTTACATAATTTTTAAAATTTATGTATATTATTTAAAACTGTTATAAAGTTTTATTAACTCTTAAAAATCATGGTACGCAATCCGAACCTTTATAAGGATTTTTAAGACTTATTCAGACTTATAGAGAGTTTTTAAGAATTAGAGTGGCGATGATGATGATGAATGATAGATGGCGAATTTTCGTAGGGGAGGTACTTATAAGGTTAGGCTAAACTGACGATTCGATTGAAGTGATGAAAGTTCGATTCTTTAGTAATGCTTGAAAAAATTACGAATTGAAGAGGAATTCTTAATTAGTTTATGTTTGGTATGTGAGTAAAAGGTTTTTTGTAGTCAAAATAAATAACTCTTTGAAATTCTTTATTATTCTCTGCAAATTTAAAAGATATTCATGAAAAAGTTTTATAAACATACGGTGCGTTTTAATGTGAATGCAGAAGTCTTTATTGAATTCTAATGTTTTGAATAAAATCGTATATTCGATAGTTTGTATGATCGTGTACCGTCACTATGATTCTTCTGAGTAGATTCTGGTATCCAAATGATTTGGGACGAATAACACACTCGAATTATATGCTACGATCATGTTCTCTGTTCACGTGAATTCTCAAAGTTTGCTTGTATCCAAATGATTTGTGACACATCTCACATTCAAAGGATTTGCTACGCTTATGTACTGCATTTATATGAGTTTCGAGGTGTTGTTTTTGTCCAAATGATTTTTGACAAATCTTACATTCGAAGGGTTTGCTACGCTTATGTACTGCATCAATATGAGTTTCAAGGTGTTGTTTTTGTCCAAATGATTTTTGACAAATCGCACATTCGAAGGGTTTTCTCCCATCATGTACTGCATTTATATGAGTTTTTAGCGTAAATTTTTTTCCAAATGATTTTTGACAAATCTCACATTCAAAGGGTTTTCTCCTATCATGTACTGCATTTATGTGAGTTTTTAGCGTATATTTTTGTCCAAATGATTTGTGACAAATCTCACATTCAAAGGGTTTGCTCCGATTATGTACTGCATTTATGTGAATTTTGAGCTTACCTTTTTCTCCAAAGGATTTCAGACACATCTCACATTCGAAGGGTTTGCTACGCTTATGTACTGCATCAATATGAGTTTCAAGGTGTTGTTTTTGTCCAAATGATTTTTGACAAATCGCACATTCGAAGGGTTTTCTCCCATCATGTACTGCATTTATATGAGTTTTTAGCGTACATTTTTTTCCAAATGATTTTTGACAAATCTCACATTCGAAGGGTTTTCTTCGATCGTGTACTACATTTATGTGAATTTTGAGTTTACCTTTTTCTTCAAATGATTTCAGACAAATCTCACATTCAAAGGGTTTTCTCCCATCATGTACTGCATTTATGTGAGTTTTTAGCGTATATTTTTGTCCAAATGATTTGTGACAAATCTCACATTCAAAGGGTTTGCTCCGATTATGTACTGCATTTATGTGAATTTTGAGCTTACCTTTTTCTCCAAAGGATTTCAGACACATCTCACATTCAAAGGGTTTGCTACGCTTATGTACTGCATTAATATGAGTTTCGAGGTGTTGTTTTTGTCCAAATGATTTTTGACAAATCTCACATTCGAATGGTTTTCTTTCATCATGTACTGCATTTATGTGAGTTTTTAGCTTACATTTTTGTCCAAATGATTTGTGACAAATTTCACATTCGAAGGGTTTTCTCCCATCATGTACTGCATTTATATGAGTTTTTAGCGTACATTTTTTTCCAAATGATTTTTGACAAATCTCACATTCGAAGGGTTTGCTACGCTTATGTACTGCATCAATATGAGTTTCGAGGTGTTGTTTTTGTCCAAATGATTTTTGACAAATCTCACATTCGGATGGTTTTCTTTCATCATGTACTGCATTTATGTGAGTTTTTAGCGTACATTTTTGTCCAAATGATTTTTGACAAATCTCACATTCGAAGGGTTTTCTTCCATCATGTACTGCATTTATGTGAGTTTTTAGCTTACATTTTTGTCCAAATGATTTGTGACAAATTTCACATTCGAAGGGTTTTCTTCCATCATGTACTGCATTTATGTGAGTTTTTAGCGTACATTTTCGTCCAAATGATTTGTGACAAATTTCACATTCAAAGCTCCGATTATGTACTATACGCAAGTGAGTTTTAAGGGCACTTTTGTATTGCTTGTTGCAAATTTTCCATTCTTTTGGTCTAATTCTCTCTTGCGTTGCATTGATATGTGTATTTAGATTTGTTTCTCTTTTATAATTTTGTCGATTCGTTTTACCTTTATCAAATAGTTTAGTATAAGTAATTTTTTTAAATTGTTGACTCTCCTTATTCCTTTCAAATTTCAATTGTGAATTTACTTGAAATTTACGATTACTATAATAATCGAAATCTTTTTTTATCAAAATGATTGGACTTTTTTTCATGGAGTAGTAAGTTTGAGTTTGATTTTCTATTTTCACTGTAGATAGACAACATTGACCTTCAGTTTTGCAGATGTTTGACGATATTTGATTTTCGTTTTTTATTTTTACAATGGGTGGATAATTTTGATACTCATTTTTGCAGACGATTTTCGATATAGACAATATTTGAGGTTTAACATCTTTCCACTCAATATCAATAAATATTTCTTCATCTAACTTTTTCTGCAACGGCACAGGCTCATTCGTGTTATTGGCCTAAAATTAAAATTATGTATTTGTTTTCGATTAAACGAAACCAAACATAAATCATATTGATGTACTCACTGATGATGTATGAAACGAGAATGTTTCCAAATGTTTGACTTCGCAAGAGTCCACCAAATTGACAATATCGTCACTTGCTTTCGGCTCTTCCTTCACCCTGAAAATGAATCAAGTTTGATAAAACGATTGCTTGAAAAAGCATCATGGTATGAACAAAAAAGTAGTACCTGACTGTGTTCTCGCTGATTTCCATCACTCGCTTAATTATTACGGTTAATTTTCAAGATTTGCACTGAAAAAGTATTTGAGGTTATAGACCTCGTGTAGGTAAAGACATATACTCGTTTACTGATACTATTTTTAAACACTTGTTCACTGCAGGAGTTTAGCCCTTCGTTAGTGACTGAACACACTATACTCGTATTTTATCGAGTCGAATCAGCTATTTTCTAAGCTCCTTGGCGATAATTTTTCTCTCTGTCGGGCGTCGTTAACCACGTCCAAACGCACTGTGTATCATCACATAATTATATGTACCGTGATGTATGTAAAGCCCTGATATGTCGTTAAAATATCATTCATCCAGGCGCACAATCAGCTCACATGTATGTGCGAAATATGTGGTAAAATATTCACATAAAAGAAATGTATTTATCAGAGCTCATACTAAAAAGGTATATAATGACACATATGGTACATACTCGTGTAAACAGATTTTTCACATAGTTTTAATAGAATCAAAATTAAATTAAAAATTGTTAACAATTGTTAACAATTCGGCTGGTTAGAGAATAATTTACAATACTTCATAAAAATCTATGCCTTAGTGAAAGCTTGGAATACTTCATATTGGATTATTTCATAATTGTTTTAAATTTTTGATCTTTTTTGAGGGTCAATCGCTCGACGCTCGTAAATATCGATTTTTTTTTCATTGGTGTAGTCGATCTTAACATCTCTGACATGTATTATGCATACACGGAGAATCGGTTCGATAGTAATCGAATATAATCGCTATACAGCTCGCAGTGCATCGTTGCGGTATACATGCAAGGTAGCACGAGGTAGAGTTTGTGATTGAAGGAGAGAGAGAGAGAGAGAGGAAAGGTCCGAAACGTCGAGCGTGCAACTTTCGCTCGTTTGAATAGGTGATCAGGTAAAACTGATTTAGCAATTTGGCCATTCCCGACGAGCAGCAGCGGCAGTAGAAGCGAGGCAACGAAGTCTCGGCGTTCTTAGTTCAAATTGAGTATAGTCCAAGAGCGAGATTCATACATACAGATATATAGATAGATGTATGAAGGTGTGTATGCGTGTGTGTGTGTGTGTGCAGGATACAACATCGCTCGAAAAGTGGAGGACTCTGCGGGGAGTAGGAGGAGGAGGAAGAGGACGGGGGGTGCATTGCAGCCGAGGAGGTGGTCGACGCCGCGTGGAAGTGGTGGCGGCGTCGGTCACGAGGGGGGGGTGAAACGGGGGGAGGGAGCATCGGAGGATCCGCGGGGGGTGCAGCAGAGCAGGAGGGTCAGGGGGGAGACGAGCGGGCGAGTAAGGTTGAACCACTACTAATCCAATTCTCAAGATCCCAAGACGTTCGCGTCGAGTACTCGTAGTAGCAGTAGCAGCAGCAGCAGCAGCAGCCGCGACGAACGAGCAACAGAGCACAAAGCTAGAGAGAGACAGAGAGACAGAGATGGCGAGGTATAATATCGCCTATGCAAATAGCCTTTAGACTTGGACAGGTTGGACGTACTCCTCGTTTCTCCAATGCTAAAATTACAACCTTGAGCAGCGCGCGCTAACTCCTATTTCCCTACACAGCAGCGGCAGCGGCAGCTATCGCGAGCTTACATACCCTCTAGCTCTTTCTCTCGTTGCAGCAGCAGCAGCTATATGTATGTAACTGCTCTCTCAACTTCTGCACGCTACACTGCGTGCGCGGGTGAAGATGTGTAAGACTGCAGAATGATATGCAAGTTACATGCATACACACACACGCAGACGTACTACGTATAATATAAACAGGATGTATACCTGCGAATTCATTATTAATATAATTGAATATATTCTTTTCTTCGCGAATCGCAGACTGGCGAAAGAGCGCTCGAGTCGCATTAATTTTTCACTCGCTCCCTCTTCCTCCTCATCCTCCTCGTTTTTTTACCTCCTTTGAAAGCGACGTCAATGACCAACGTCGGCGCAGCCAGCCACCAGTCGAACTCTTATCGATTTAAGATTGGAAAAGCCAAGAGCAGCAGCGGCATCGGCAGTGGTAGTAGTAGTAGACAAAACAAATGGCGCAGCCACAATATCGCATTTACCTTTCCATTTGTTCGTTTCGTTTCGCGTTCGGCTCCGCATCAGGCCGGTCGAAGGGGAGTGTACGGAGTCGAGTCGCCACGCTATATACATACTATATGTATATATTAAGCGCGTACATTTTTTTTCTTCTTCTTTCCTTTTTTACGACCAACCGTATATATACCTATATATGTATAAATACGGACTTACCCCCCTAGGTATATACGGCGTTTTATACCAAGGGTAGTAGTAGTAGTAGCCGCACAGCTCCACAGCCGGCGAGTAAAAGAGAGAGAGAGAGACTATATTTTCAAGAGGGGGTGGGGTAGCAGCAGCAGTAGTAATACCTATATAGAAGCTCGACCATAGTCGAGAGTTGGCTTTCTCTCTTTTCTCGCTCGCTCAATATGTACTGCACCTCGGCCGAGACTGACCAATGGGGCTGGGCTGGGAATTTCTTCTCTTGCCCCACCATCGCTTCCCACCACCACCACCAACACCACCACTGTCACTACCACCCCTTGTACAGACCACTGCTACTACCATCGGCCAGTCCACTGCACTGCACCGACATATATAATATAAGACTCGTAAGTAGTGCCGCAGTGGGGAGAGAAAACTGACCTCTGGCTCGATTTTCGTGCGCATGCATAGCCAAGTCGGGTACGCGCGTACATTTTACGTTTCAGGATCTTGGCTCTCTCTCTCTCCTTATCTGCATGCGCATATACATATATAACGCGTGGCTAGCCACCATACATATATATAGTAGTAGTAACATTAATAGTAGTAGTGGTAGTATTTGAGCTCGAGACGAGGGAGTGGAGATCGTCGTCGTCGGTGGCCGGGGCCGGGGCTCTCTCTCTCTCTCGTCTGAGAGAGAAATATACATATAGCATCGGTCTAGCTCGGAGCTTAGCCGCTGGCGACCGCTAACTAACCAAAGAGGGATCACCTCCCGCGTACAATATATATATTATATATATATATATGTATGTATGTGTCTGTGTGTGTGTATGGGCTCGACGAACTCGGCTGTAGGACTACTACTACTACCAGCAGTGCCTGAGCTCGCGCCCCGAGAATTCCTCATCTTTCAATTTCAGGAGAGCCCTGGTTAAGGACGATGGCTTATACGAGGAGAAAGGCCAAAGTCTCTCTCTCTCTCTCTCGGTCTTCGGCTAAGCCGACCCCTTATTTATGTTGCGCGCCGCTCCGTGTGTATATAGATGCATAGGATAGACGTGCCGCAGAGCGAAAGTAGAAGGAAATGGGCTGTTGCCCTCTTCTACGCGCCTTGTAAAATTAGCCTCGGACACGAAATATCTTTCACCGTGTATATATGAGGGTATGTATGCGAGATCTTTGCCGTGGAGCTGATCGTATAAGAGAGTAAGAGATTGCGCACCGCGCCTGATTTAATTTCCATGGTACGTGTCGCATATATACACGCGAGATGATCGGGCTATAAAAACGAATCAACTCGAATCACATCGCGTTAGGGCTGTATTATTGTACGATACGATACGATCGGTACGATTGCCGGCACGCACTCGATCCTCGACTTGGGTTTTTTTTATTATTTCATAAGATGCAAACTAGGCGGAGACTTGCACTTTCGCGCGGTTCCTTTTCGTCGCTGGTTCTACATACGCACGCATATGTGTGTTATACGTATATAAAGTGACATGGAATACATGTATATATCCGTGCCGTAGACAGACAGACGTACACACAGAGCAGCAGCAGCAGCAGCAGCAGCATCATGCAAAGTGAGAGAGAGAGCTAAAGCTGAGCAAGGTATCTTGTTATATAACTATCATTGAAGTTGCCTTGCGCCGAGGAAAGCAGCAGCAGCAGCAGCAGATGGGTTGTCTTGAAACTTTGCCAAACGCGCTCCTCGACAGCCTCTCTTCTCTCTCTCTCTGGGTATGTGTGTCTCTCGCAACACACACACATACTCACGCGCATTATGTAGCCACATGCGCTCTCTACTCGCCGGATTCGCAATGAGATTTATACTTGTGTAAATAAATAAAAAATAGATGGAAAAGCCGCTGCGGAGGTGAAAACGTAGAGTCCCTCGTACGAGAAGAGTGAAGAAGCAGCAATTACCGATCGTCATGCGAGACCGATATCTTGGCAGTGGATGTTTGAAAACTCTCATGTATGAAAATGAATGGGTGCGAATAATAATTAATAATTAGGCATTGGCTTGTAGCTGCCAAAATTTGAGTCATTGATAATTTTCGCGACATCGATCGACGGTCATCGAAATAACTGCTAATAAATTATTATGATTATAGCAAGCTCGAGACAGCGTCAAACTGGTAACATCTTATCATCTTAGTTTATTATTTCTGGGAATCACAAATACATCTTCCTCTTTTAAAGAGTTAATATGCTATACATAGCTTAACAGTTGTGAAGTGATTCTGTTCCGATAGAAGCGAGTAAATCGCGAAACAGAGCTGAAAAAATTTCAGGGTCTCTAAATTTATAGCTTAACGCGCTGAAAAGTTATTGGCATTATAAAATTGGCACTCGATCAAGGATTTCAATTTTTTACTGAAAATTTATTGATATTTGTGAAAAGTAAAAATGATCTTTACATAATAAGGTGATATTGGAATAATTTATGATATTTGTTTTTTGAGATCACCTCTTCGTTTGAACACATTTCCGCATATATATCACATGTAAGTGTGATCATTATGTAGCGAATCAATGTGATCTTTGAGATAAGATTTCGTTGTGAATTTTTCCCCGCATAAATCACACTCATGTTTGACACCATTATGTTTCCAATCGACGTGTTTTCTGAGATTACGCTTGTCTGAGTATCTTTTTTGACATAAATCACAAGCATGCGTGATTTTATGATGCACTGACTCGATGTGGGTTTTAAGATGATCTTTTCTTGTAAATATCTTTCCGCATACATCACATACACATGTGACCCGATTGTGCACGGAATCGATGTGGGTTTTGAGATTAGTTTTAAGTGAAAATGACTTTCTGCAAACATCACATTCAAGTTTGACACCATTATGTTTTCCATCGACGTGTTTTTTGAGACCAACTTTTTGAGTAAATGATTTGCCGCAAATATCACATGCATGTCTAACACCATTGTGTGCGGTATCGATGTGTTTTTTAAGACTACCATTCTCTGAGAACTTCTTTCCGCATAAATCACATGCATATGTGACTCTATTGTGTACTGAATCGATGTGTTTTTTGAGATTACTCTTACTTGAGGATGCCTTTTGGCATATATCACATTCGTAAGTGATTCCACTATGCACCGACTCGATGTGGATTTTAAGATTATACTTATTTGAATATTTCTTTGCACATATTTCACATGCTAGGGTTGTATCGCTATGCACCGCACCCTTGTGTTTTTTGAGGTCATGATCTTCGTTAAGATTTTTTGTAATTCTTCTTTTTATATTTTGTTCGACAATTATAGGGTTGAAATTCAAATTCGATCTATCTGCAGCATCATCCATGATTTCTTGTTTTACTACCACTGCAGGCTCTATTTTAATTTTGTTTTTAGTTTTACAACCATCACTATATTCGATATCTCGCGAATCATCTTCAATTTTCTGAACTGCTGATAAATTAATGTTGGGCTTGACGTCTTGGCATTCAAAAACTATTTTCAATTTATCATCGCGTACAATATCATGATTTCCTTCACATTTCCGAGCGTTAGGCATCTGTAGAAAATGTAAATGTATAAGTTACACACAATTACAACTTACGTTAATATAATTATCAACACTTACTGAATTTTCTGGCAGACGTGGTAAGAGTTGGATGTTCTTAAGATCGGGCTTCTCGTCAATCATTTCATTATTATTTTCAATGATTGGTGCATCACAAGGCTCCTCTTTCACTCTGAAATAACCTCAATGAGATCAAGTAATGTGTTGTTATGTATTTATCATCTCAAAAAATGAAAATTACCTGATACTATTGTCCAGGGCCGTAGCCAGAAAATTTTTTCGGGGGGGTTTACCCGGGTTACTTATGTAGCTTGGGTTACCATTAACAGAAGGTAAAATCCCAAATTTCGGGGGGGGTTCTGACNCCCCCGCTGGCTACGGCCTTGCTATTGTCATTGGATTCCATCTTTCTCGCTTCAAAATTTCGTCAACAATTAATCGTCAACACTTCCTGAGATGATTTCACTTCCAAACTAAATTAAGAGCTGCTGTATTGTGCTCGCTATATTTTTTAAAACTGTATCCATGCGAAGAACTTGAGGTTATGAGAGACCAGCTCCGCATAGTTCACCGTGTAGCGTAACGTTATCGTATAGCATGCACGATGAAGCATCGTGTCGGACAATCCACGGTCATACACAGGTCATACACGCGACGCGCGACACAAACAATGAAACGAGCTCAGATCTGTACTTTTTACTAGTCTTTATATGTAAATTATAATTGTAATTATATCATTAAGAAGATTACATTAGATACCTTTTGACCAATGAATAATGATAAACATTTTTTTGTTAATAATACTTTATTGCGGAAAAATGAGAAATAAAAAATTGATTGAATCTGGTGTTTATAAATGAGGACGCAGTTTCATTTCAATTAAATTTACTATAATTGTGGAATATACCGTTGCCGTACCACATTCATCTTCAAATAATGTAATTTATAACATTACTCGATTGGTCAAGGATAAACAATTATTTTTATCAATTTCTAACTCACGCAAGGAGGAGAAAATATTAAAGAAGTCAACTCAAAAATTAATCAACTTATATCAGAAGTGGTATGAAAATTTTCACATATTTCATGCCAAAAAAATTGAGTTTCTCCTTGCTCGTTATTCCGATCTTTAGTTCTGCTAATTAAAAATCCATTTCTTTTTCTTAGTCCTATACGTACGGCAAAGTATCGCTTTACCAAAAAAAAAGGCTGGAACAGAAAACTCATATTTCTCCGCTATTCCGAAAATCGCGTTCTTTTTTTTATTTTTCGTCGTCGGTAAAAATCGGCCGCGTATATATATTATATACGCGACGCGAAAAGAGAGTATATAAAGCCTAAGAGGGTGGCAGTACGGGATCAAAGGAAGAATTATCGGGCGGCCCCGGGATTTCGGTCCCGTAGGAGACTTACCGCATGTAAATAAGGACGCGCGCAGTATAAGAAAGAGAGAGAGAAAAGACTCCGCAGGAGCAGAAAGAGAGAGAGAGAGAGATAGCCCGGCGTACCGCGTAAATAACATTTTTCCAATACCATGGGCTAGAGCAAGGCTGACTTTTTTCTCTCTATGTATGTGTGTGTGTGTGTGTGTGGGTCTGTATATGTGTTGTCCCGCGCACTGTACTCTATCTCTGAAAAAAACTTCCACATGCACATTTTGGTCTATTGTACGCTGGGCTCTCGAAGATCTCCTTTTTTTCCTTCTCTCGCTCTTCCGACAAGATCAATGCAAAAATATCGTCGGTGCAGCTCCAGTTTTGCTTTTTGTTACGATTTTCTTTTTTAGCTTACGCTCGACGCAAAGGGAAAATATTCAAATTATAACATTGAAAATAAAACAAAATATATATCTAAGGTTTACGATTACATAAAATGTGTCGCGTCCGCGCGAAAAGCCAGTTGTGTTACACCCGGGCCGCATGCGCCTATAGATACACATTAACATGCAGGCGGTGCGGCGGCGGCGGCGGGCACGAACAAACTGGTCGCGACGACGACGACGACGTTGTAAAACGGAAAAACTAGTTCTATAATATGTGCATGAATTACTTGTGTATACACACGCGCGAGCCACACGCTTTTACGCTCCAGTTTAACTCGCTTTTCGGCCACTCGAGTAATGATAATTTTTTTTTATTCCTCGCTTCCTTTTTGACGGCGAGTCTCGAAGTCGACGCTGCGGATATGACAATCGTGTACGTAAGTACGTACGCGCGTATATATCGCTAAAATCCGGCGTGACCGCGTCGAGGGCCCGCTGGACGGTAATCGTCGAATAATAAGGAAAAAAAGAAGGGGGTTGGACGCGATCGGAAAAGCAAATAAAATACTCGGCGTCGCGATCGTAATCTTACATATAATTATCACAAAACAAAATCTTTCGTTCATTTTTTTCGCGAGCAATAATAAATTATCTAATACGTATACGCGGGCAAATAAACAACGAGCGTAGACTTGATACAGTTGGCTCACCGTAAGGTAATGGCAAACTTTATCTTCCGACTATACATGCTCTATACGTTTTGAAGCCGCCACGATACGTATAGTCAAAGTTCCTGCGCGCTATATACACGGGCTAGCCTGGCTACAGTGGCTTTTCTCGCGGGACCGTACCCTCGAGTCCGGCCATCGATTCCGTGCGGTTTTACCGTACGTATATATATACACACGCGAAACTACTACAACTACCACTACTACTGCTCCTACGCCACCGAGAATGAAGTAAGAAAAAAAAAGAGCCGAGAGAAACGGAGAGAAAAACGTACTACCGCTGCATGAACAGCACCAACCAACCCCCGAGTCGTCGTCGTCGTCGTCGTATTTTCGTTTGTCCAAGTTAGTCCGACGAGCAGTCCCTTTTCTTACTCTCCGTCGACTTTTCCGCACCCCCCCCTTACTTACGCTGGGATATGCCAGGGAATTGCTTCTTCTTCTTCTTCTTCCTCTGTTGTGTGCACGATGTTATACGTGCTTGTGTGTATACTTTACCCGAAACAGATGCGATTCGGCATCTTTTACGATCCAATATTCGTCCCTAATTCTCCATTTTCCTCAATCTCTCTCTCTCGATGTGTGTATCCTTCTACGTTTTTTCTCTCTGCTGCTGCTGCTTCGCTGCTGCTGTTATTTTTTTTTTATGTTTCGATCGCGACTCTTCATGCATGTTGTATAAGGGATACTTTTCGGCGGGCGTAATAGCCGCGCGACGCATCGAATACGAACGATGACATTATCCCCGCGCGGCGCGTGGATAAATTTCAACGATTGGCTTCTTCGATCGGCCTAGCAGAGACAGACGCTAAAATGTCCAGAGAAAGGTATCATCGTCATCGAATGCATTATGTACGCGCGTCGTCGCGTTAGAAAATTCAAAAAGAAATTTCGACGCGAGCTCGAGCTTTTTCGAGAGTCAGAGCCGAGATCTTTTATTCGAGAGGGGGTGGTTAAAGTGGTCTCTTAAACGTATAAAGATATACAAGCGTAAAAAAAAAGACACACGCACGCAGGAGATTTTTATTGGCCTCGCGACTACACACGCGGTATAAACGTAATACAGAAAAAAAAAGAAGAAAAAGTACGCAACGCAGTGAGAGTGAGAGAGAGAGAGAGAGTCGCGACTGAGCCATGAGAATATAAGAAAGAGAGAGAGAGGGTGGCGCGTGGCACGCGCGCGCGCTTATTTCGACTGCGGATTTTCATATGTCTTCAGTCGCACGGAAAATTAGAGCTTTATACGATTTTCGCTGATTTCTTTCTCCATTCTTCATCTCTCTCTCTCTCTCCATGACTCTGTTGCGTCGCGGCTATATACGTTTGTGTATATATGCTGTATCATGTTTTATATACACACGCGTATGTATATAACTGCTCGTTCGAGTGCGTGCATCTTTTTCTTCTTCTTCAGATGTCTTATACCTCCGACGGATAGCTGGGCTCTTTTATGTATAACCCTTGTGCGCACCGCGTGGATTTGTACCTGTTTCACAGCAAACGTATATATTGGCCCGAAAGACAAAAAATTCCGTAACAAATAAAAATGTGCGTGGTGTATACCCTGCGACTCTCAATGAAATTTCGATTAAGAAAAAGCAGTGGTAAGTACGTTCGTTTATGATTGTCTCGAAAGACGGTGATTTTTTCCAAAGAACACGAGTCTTCGAGTAATAAAAACTATAAGTTCGTAGTTTTGAGATAAAAGTTGCTGTGACAGAAATATGTCTAGAAACCTATAGAAATGCCGGGGAGTCAAAAATTTTTACGAAAACCCAGCCATTGACTAATCTAAAACGAAAGTTTAACTTAGGCAATGAAATCTTTGAAAACTTATACAATTATATTTACTTTACCACTTGCAGATTTGCATGTAAAATAATTCGCCATCTAGCGGTAAATGCCCAAAGTAATACTGTCATCTTCAAAGTGATTTTAATGGGAAGTTAATTAATGGGAATACATTTCAAAATACAAAAACATACATCTTTGATCATAGGTCCATTATTCATGCTGACCATTTTTACCCGGGCACAAGTACAAATAAATCCGCCTCGTACGATTATAAAACGACCACCGCAAACATCTTGCCGTATAACGCATAATATATAAAAAAAATACGCATATTAAAGAAGGAAGGAAAAAGTCAAGCTTGCGTGTCACGGGGACGGCGTCACGTTGGAATAATAAAATAAAAAAAGAGGAAAGAAAGAAAGAACGAAAGAAGGGTAATTTCCTCTCTTTCTCCATATAGCTAGCTGGCGCGCGCATAAAAAACATATTTTCCGCGAGCAAAGTCCGAGCCCGAGAGAGAGAGAGAGAGATGAACCTTTTCGGATGTAATGCATCAAAAAGCTCGCCGTATATAATACGAAGAGCCAAAGAGAAAGACGAAGAGAAAGAACGACGATCGATATTCTCTCTCTTGCGCACACTCACATGTATACACGAGCCCGTGTATATGTGTGTGTCTAGCTGAGCTGCCCGTAGTGACCCTACTACCGCTACGTTTTGGCCGACGTCTAGCTACTACTACTACTACCTCCATCGCCGCTGCCGCCTCCACGTATAGCCAGCACCGCACTACACCGCCACCCCCTTTCGTCGATATATACGGCGATCTTTCCGGGCTATGGAGCTCCCGCCTTCTCTTCTCTCTCTTCTCTTGCCCAGTACGTCTAACACACACACACACAGACACACGCGTACAGCGGCTATATATGCTATAGTAGAAAGTAAGGAAGAGAGAGTAAGACTGCCCCTATAGCTCTTTTGGGCTACTATACATTCGTTGTCCGACGTGCTGCTGCTGCTGTCGAGGCAATTCGGCCTGCAGAAATGGCGGCGGACATCGCACTGGCACGCGCGCATATCGCTTGTGTTTTCCAACAGACGTGTATAAATGTCATGCATATTCAACGACGGTCTGGTCCGACGTTATTCCGAGCTGCTTGTAGTCGAATTTTCGGAAAATATTTTTAAATCGATGATTTCGTTCGATCGCGCAAAGATTATGAAAAAAAAGGGTATTTTTAGGTACTTGAAAACTTTAGCACGTTTTTCATCCGGCTGCACGTTTATAACTTTCACTTTCTTAGATGATGTACGAAGTTTCATTTTCTTTTTTTCTTTTTTCCTTCTTTTTTTTGGTAAAAGTTAACAAATGGATCGAGCTATTAATGTCGCCCGCATTATGTAAGAAGATTTCACGGTCACTCCGACGTGGTTTCATTCCAACTACTGTACGTAAGATAAACCAAGAGACGACGACTACGACGCCGTCGCTAAAGGCCATAAAGAACCGCGAGCACGAGCTGCAAAGATTTTCAAGAAACTTCTTGACTTTCGGAGCAGCAGCAGCAGCAGTAGAAGCAACTCTAGAAGCGAAAGTTTTCGGAGTGAATCGGCAAATAGTTAGCGCAAAGTAATGCGTACTTATAACCGTGTAAAATTACAGCGATTGTTTCTGCAGCAGCAGCGCACGCGCGCGTTTACGAAAAATTTATTCGACTCTCGTCTTTATCTCGGTATATAATTTTCCGCGGTGCGTCTCGCGATATGATAATTTTCACTGATATAGCGAAACATAAAAAAAGTGTGCACTTGACCTCGATAATAGTAACAGCGGCTAATAATCTACTTTTTTTTTCTCTCTCTCTGCGTCAAACCTGTATGTGTGTACGGGGCATTGTGGCTCTCGAGCGCGCCAAGGTAATTGACGTTTTCGAGTGCGATTTATACCGCACGATCAGATTATCCCGAGTGACACGTTGCGTACCTATATAGAAGTGCTTATACCTAAGCGCACACACACATAAGCACACGCACACAATCGCGCGCGATGTACGTATAGCAGCGACGCGATCCGTTGCGTTCGAGCTCTGGCCCAAAACTGAGTCGAGACGCCTGACACGCTATAGCCGATAGGGCCCCCGTTTTGATCAGTGTGAGTGTGTGTGTGTGTGTGTTTGTCTGTCAGTCCCGCGCGGGAAAAAAGGGGTAAAAATCAGAAGCGCGATCAGGTAAAAAGGAGAGAGAAGAGAGAGGGGAAAAAGGTGAGTATCTCTCTGGAGACTGGGGAGTACTTACTGTTTCTCAATTTCCGAAATGATCGATAATTCGGGTAAAAATGTTCAATGATACATAATTTGGATTAAATTTCGTGTTTGATATTTCAAGTTTAAGTGTGTGTTTTGCGTTTTTCAGTGACTCCGATTTCGGTAAATTCACTTAAAGAACTAAACTAAAGAAAATTGTGGCCTTTAGGCCAAACCGCAGGGATTTTGATATTAGATGCCATTCGCATAAGACATAAAGGATCGAACTTCATTGAACGGAATACGATTAAAAATTGTTCTGGGATTTTTGAAAGAATATTTAAGCACCCCTGATGGAAATGCTCAAGATAAGTGATGGACATAGAGATTCAAAAATTACCATTTAAAATGTATTTGATTGATTGGTTTGTTTTTGGCGATTTTCTGTTCATATTTTTATTAAAAATATTAGGTGCACTTTAAATGACCTGAAAATGACGATTAAACCGTGAATAAAAATTCTGACCAATCGTGATACTACTTTGAAAATGATATAACTTTGAACCCTGACCACTAGATGGCGAGTATCTTTGAACAGAAAATCTGCAAGTGGCAAAGTCAAAATAATTGTATAAGTCCAAGATGAAATAATATGTGTTCCTAATATTTGAATGGTACTTTTCCTATTTTTCAATGGCCATTGCGCATGTAAACGCGTGACTCGGGCGAATCACCTACTATATTGACTCGAGATGGGCCTCCGCTGCATTGCTGGGTGTTTTGGATCATTATGACGGACGAAGCCCAACGTGAGATTACACGAGCTTCTCGGTGTCGGGGTGGACTGTACTCCCCCCCGCATAATCCAGAGATAACGACCAACGACACCCCGAGCTAGCGTCGAAGATGAAGAATAAGCTAAGAAGCCGAACTGATCCGAGGCGTTTTCTCTCTCTCTCTCTCTCTCTCGTGGTCTGATCCCCAATGTCATATACGCATATAGTTATCGATACGCGCGTCGTGCCTGCCTAAGAGATATCGAAGCAGCAGCAACAGCACAAAAAAAGGATGAAAAAAAAGAAGAAGAGAGTAGCGAGTCATCGTGGAATCTGATCATATAAATGATGGATCTCGAATTCCTCGAGTCCATCGAGGGCATAAATGTATTATATCTCCGCGTGTATATAATGGCCGAGCAAAGGGCGTGAAAAGAGGAGGAATTCGACGAGAGAGCCAGGATGATCGAGCTAGCTTTCCACTCATTTTTTTTTTTTTTTATCTTCGACCCCCTCCTGATTTTCTTTATCGAACAGCAGTTACGTTGCAGAATAAGAAGAAAAAAAAAATCGAATGAATTTGGTCCGATGAATCCGTACGTAAGCTCGCGCGCATGTGTGCTCTCTCGTGTGTGCGTTCAAATTTTAAATAAGCCAAAAGCTCCAATCCCGAGTTACGTATACGCCATTGCGCATTCGTCGGGCGAAGTAAAAAAAAAAAAAAAAAAAAAAACTCNAAAAAAAAAAAAAAAAAAAAAAAAAAAAAATAGCGAAACGAGGCAACGAAAAAAAAAATCAAAATGAAAGATTCATAATTTTCTACGCGAGAGAGAGAAACGTAAAAAGGGACAATACGTCGAGGCGCAGCGGAGAGATATACGTCTGAATTTTTAATGGGCTTTATATACCGTATACGCGGCTAGATTTCCAGAGTAGCAGCAGCGGCGACGGCAGTTTTTGCGTCGGGGGGACGCTTCGCCGCCACCGCCTGGACACAGATACACACACACACACACACACACACACACACACACACATACACATATATATATTCGCATTATTACCGTATAGCAGTGAAACTGTTGAGCTGGAAAAAGCAAGGAGATGCGCAGCGGCAGCGGCAGTAGCTAAACCGACGACCATTACCTTCGATTCGAGAAATAAATTGCGCGCCATAAACAGGCATCCTATATACACAATGTATAGGAGGATATATGTATAGCCGTGGCTCGCTGGGCTTCAAATTTTCTCTCTCTCTGTACCATCGTCGTGAGTCTCGGCTACTCAGCAGTGCGTATAAACGCGCGTATCGATCCGCTACTGGTCTGTTTACCGGAGATAAGGGCTAGAGAGCACACCGACGTCGGTCGCGGGGGCAGCTTCTACTTTTCCTTCCTTCCCCATCTTCTTCTTATTTTTTCTCATAATTTTCGCCACTGCGATCTTCGCTCATACCTATACGCTGCGGTGCCCAAGTTTTTCCAATTTTCTATCGTTCAACTCTCGTGTACTTGTGTGTGTGTGTATAATTTTTTGCTCTCGTCCGTTGATAGCGTTGCGAACCGTATGCAAAAGTCCACGACAAATGGCCCGTCGCGCGGCGAGTTTGTCGTAAATCAAAGCCAAAGCATCGAGAAAAGCACCGAAATATCGCGCGCGACGATTGCTGAGCGAGAGACAGCTCGAGATACTCGAGAGGTCTAATGCCATACGGTAATAAACGATCGAATCGCTTGCCTGGATCGCGTGTGAGAAAAAAAGCAGCAACCAATATGTATACGAGAGGGTCGTATAATATACACGCATTAACGACGTTTTATGTATCGCAGTATGACGTTCCGACGACGACGAAGATGACGACGTGAGACGTGGTATACAACACAAAATTTCCAAGCAAAATGCGTATACGTATGTATACGCGACGCGACAACCCTTTTGCCTCGGTTTTCGATCACAAACGTCACTTTATACATTTCTCCGAGCTGCGGTGTACGCGCACTTCAGTTCGTATAGCCGTATACAGTGCTATATAAGGTTACCCATCCCGACGAAATAATAATACTAAAGAGAAGCGAGAGTGAAAAAAAAGCAGCGGCCGTAAAGAAGGTCCCGGACGTGAAATAGGGTCACGCGCGGGGAAAAACTTTTTTTTTTTTTTTTAAATATTTGAATTAACCCCTTCGCTGGGGGGAGAGCGGTAGTAACAGCAGCAAAGTGCCAATGTGTCCTCTCTCGCTCTTTCCCCGCTCTATGGTATACTTGCACGCAGGTACGTGTATGCGAACGCTAAAAAATCGCTCTCTCTCTCTCTTGCCCATTATTCTCTTCTTCGTTTTTTTTTGCATCTGTGCATTGCGACGTCGATCATAGGCGCATATATACTCTTACGTTGTAGTACGACGCTCCGTCCGACGGCTGCGCGAGAATGTAAAATTATGTTAATAGATTATCCTTCCGGCTGCATCGATCGTATTTTATATATACGTCTACTATGTGTATAATGCGAGAAAGGGGTTGTGTCGCGTATACTATGTATAATATGCCGGAGCAACAGCGGCGGCAGCTCGAGGCTCGTTATACATTCGCTCGTGTGTATATGCATGTGTATATAGGCGCAGGATCGCGGAAGTACGGCCTTGACATTCTCTCTCTCTCTCTGTCTCTCTCGCTTCGAGAGGGAAGAGCTTCGCACGAGTTTATAGACGTATCATCTTTTTTTTCTCCTGTATGTAGGTCACGTGGGTTGATCTCTCTGTGCACGCACCGGTTCGATGAGGATATATAGTCAATTATTCCGCGCTAAAAAGATGAATCGTTGAGCTTAGTAATAAAGGAGCAGGAAGAGAGGGACAGAAAAGACAAACTATACGGGCTGTGTATAACGTAGGCTCGATGCGTCATATCTTTTGAATATTATTCTCTCTCAAAAAAGGGATGCGTTCTCGAATAAATAGAACTTATATAGGAAAAAGTTGCAGACACTGCTGCTGCGCCACACACGCGGACGACGCGACAGATGGGGTTAAAAAATTGTGAAAAGGATTAAGTATAGCGCACGCAGAGTTCGGGAGAATATCGATGTAGACGCGCGGCGCAGAACGATCGCGAGCTCTGCGGCGTCAAATCGCCAGAGACCGTATTATATCTCTCTTTTTTCAATTTTCATTTTGTCACGCCGCGTGGACGAAGCAATACTTTCGTTCCAAAAAAAAATTAGTCCTATGCGAGCAGCCCGTATACAGACACATAATCTACCCTATGAATCGCGAATGCTATATATGCATATTACGTATACGCATTGCATATGAAAAAGGGGCTTCTCTCGCTCGGGCTCTCGAGTACATCGAGTCTCTAGCGCGTCTGTCTATATACAGATTCAAAGAATCTCCGCAGTCGCGCGCGAGGCGTTAAAGGGCTGGAGACTCCGCAATGTGTAATATCTCGCTCGAGAGAAAGATAGATACGATCGGACCAGTCGAAAAAAGCCGCAGAATATATTTTCGGGGCCCAGAGAGAGAAGTGGCGCGTCGGAGAAGAGAGAGAGAGAGAGTCGGGCGCCATCATGTAAGATATTCGGAAGCGTCCGAGCGAGCCTCGAGGGTTCTTACAGATGGCCAACGCGGATAAGCTTGAGAGATCGAGAGACGAGCTATTTAAAGTACGCGCGCGATTTCGCAGCGGCGGCGCAACCCCTTTTCCATGTTTTTTTTTCTCTTCATTCACTCTCTATCTCGAGTGGCTCGATAACGATTTCGAGCATTTTGGTTTCCATTTAGCTGTTAGCTGCAAGTGCAGAAATGAGCAGTCACGGTGCGGGGTTATATATTATTATATATTTGGAAATCAGGGTGGCTTTTCAATCAAAACGCGCACTTGTAAACGTCAGCTCGATAACTGTATTTATTTTGGGACTCGGGTAACAAAAAAAAAAAAAAAAAACCGAATCCCGTAAACCTGCGCAAATAGGGATCGTGGCGCGTAAGGTGTTCGACCTCTAAATCAGATACGGCACTTAAAAGCGAGTCATTTACCGGTACTACTTTTTTTTTCCTGCGCAGCGTCAAGTCGACGCCTCCTGCTAGCTCGCTTTTTTTTTTGGTGTCGGTTTTCATGCTTTTTTCACCCAAAAAATCACCCTTGTACAAGCGCGCGGACCGTGCGCGCATTATTGCCCCGCGTGTCCCTCGACAGATTTCTCTCTTCTCTCTCTCTCTCTATTTTTTTCCTAAAACGCGTAATCCACCCCGCGGATAAGTGTACACGCGGGGAATTGAAATTTCAGTCACTTGCTCGGCACAGTGTACTCGCACAGTGAATCGGTCTCGAGAATATCGCGCACGAAATGCTGCTTACTTTTGTGAGGGGTGTTGGGGCCCCACACACGGGCACAGGTTGGTCACCGTCCTTGTAGCTGCACTCGCGTTTATATACGTATATTCGGTGTACAGCAGGTTCACACGTGCCGTCGGGTCGTCGCAGTCCCGTAATCGGCCTTGTAAGTTGATTTCCTGCGCGCCACGAATGGAACGATATTATAGATATATAATGTACGAGTTGCTGCGTCAATCGACGCTCGCGGCGAAGGAAGGAAAAATTTATTTCACGCTTCGTCAGGTGGACCCTCGTATCGGATGATATAATATTACGCGTTATTCATTTTTTTTTGGTACGTATCGCGTGAATTTTTGACGAATTCGATCGTAAAAAAAACAGTATAATTTAATGGAAATGTTTCGCCGATGACTCTGCAAGTATACACGCATTATAAATATAAAAGAGTTTTGGAAAAGGGCAGGTGAGGCACGCATAAGGGCTATAGCTGCTATATACATAAGCGATGCTCGATCGAGAAATTATAGGAAAAAATGCCACGTACGACCTTCGAACACACCGTGCATGCGATTCATCTTAACCCTTTTTTTACTTTTTGGTTTCGCGCAATCTACGCGCAATAACGTAACGACCTCGCCTCCTTTTGCGCGCTCCTCACTCCGGGCCGTACATACGTACCATCGTCTCTCTCAGCGGGACAGAAAATAAATTAAATTACACTTTTTTTCACCACCGTGCCGCCCGGTTGGAATTGCTGCTGCTGCTGCTGCTCGTCGTCGAACATCGACAAATACGTATTGCTAGCCGAATTAATCCCGGGCCCGGATTCGATCACGGTGGTTTTTCGTACGTGTGTGTGTGTGCGTTATTTCGAGCTCGTTGAATAAATTTATCGATTCTCTCTCTCTCTCTCTCTCTCTCCCGATGTACAGCTACTAATAGATCGATGCTTCCGGCTGGGGGTTGCTTTTCTCTCCTTCTCCTTCTTTATGCATCTATATATGCTAACGACGCTATTCGGCAACGCTGAAAATTTCGCAACAAAAGTCCTTGCGCTAATGCGACGAGCATCGCGCTCGCGCAGGGCTGGATGTATAAATATGCTTACGCGCGTGTATGCGCCGTAGGTAAATTTTTCGTTGCACATTGTGGGGCGCTCCGTTTATACCGTCGCGCTGCATATGCTTTATTATACATAACATAGAGATCGGAGGTTCGAAAAAAGGGTCTAAAACGGGGAGGAACCCTTTCTCCGGACTTATAATATGTACGAGGCCCCCACCAGAGCGACGCGCGAGCACACGTTTCTCTCTCTCTCTCTCTTTCTCTCTCTCTGTTATAATTCTGTCTTCTCGTGTGGCAGGTAACGAACGAAGACTGTTTCTTTTTTTTTCATATAACACAATTTTATTCTACCTCTTCTGCCGGGGCTCTCTCTCTCTCTCTTGAATGCGCGCTCGGGGCCACCTATATACGTGTACGTAATATCGGCCTCGTTTTCGAGAGACGACGACGACGACACTGCAGTCGTAATCGAGTTCTTTTCCGGTTCTGATCTACGAGCGCGCGGCGAGCTCCTTGCCGAGGAAAATATATAGCCTCTACATATTTCGGGGCCATTATTAATAAAGGTAAAACGCGGTTTATTATAATATATAACGAGTTTCCTTCGGTCGAATCGTTTGTCTTTTCGGACCTCTATAAATTCAACTGCTACTGCCTTGGAACTGCTGCTGCTGCTTTTTGTAATACGCAAAGTGCTTCGAAGTGAGATAGAGATTATCTGTCACGAGCGTACGTAGTATTTATATATGGAGAGAGAGAAGAGAAGAGAGAGTAGTGTCCGTGCGGCGGCGGTCGAGCAAAAACGGGGGTGCTACTGCTCACTGCACAGCAGCAGCAGCAGCACCGTATCTATTATAAGAAACGGGGGAATGGCGCGCGGCGAGGCAATCGAGAAAATTGGACTGGATGACGCTTGGTCAGCAGCTTTCGAAGCCACCCTCGTCTCTCTTAGTTTGTACGTGCTCTGTGTGTGTATATATGTGTCTGTGATGTTGTGAGCGAGGGCA